TGCCTCACACAGCAGGGAACACCATGGACGAGGTCCCTGCACCCAGAGCCTGCTTTTAGTGAGGGGAGAGAGACAATAAATAAGAGATGATTCTAGAGAATAGCACGTGCCATAAACATAAAATGGGGTGTGTCCTAAGCTCTCTAAGAAGGTGACATTTGAGCTGAGACCTGAAGAACTGGATGGAATGAGCCAGACTCAAGAAGCTATGGAGAGGAACGTCTCGTGATGTTCCATAGCCTGTTTCCAGCATGACTTGCCAGGGTCCCCCCCGACGTCCACGCAGGTGCAAAAGCGGTAGGCAGTTTCCTGAGTCCAGAAACGAACTGTTTCCCACTGAGGCGCCAGGTTTTCTGCACAGTTTTACCCTGCACGGAAGCAAACCCGGATAAGACTGCAGTTTGCTTCATTTGGGAATTCCGGTCAACTGTTCTTCACTGCTTTAGACAACTGTTTATGGCCAGACTGCTTGTGTACCCAAGCCGCCCAAGCATCCACCTGCTGCAGCTGTCAGGTGATGTGACAGAGCTGTCATGGCAGCCTCACGATGGCTTTTAATGATGCACCCTGGCATGGTGTGCACTGCAATGGATGGATTTATTACAGAGCACTTTCCTTCTAGTTTCTTTTAACTCACGGTCAGGGTATTCCTTGCTGAATACGTGCAGGGAGTTATGTTATCTATGAATTTACTTTAGGTAAACCTGCAAAAACATTTGCTATAAGACAGTGTATGACCTGTAGACGTGGGAGCCACTAAGGTGTCAAACAACAAAGCCCCATTTTCCCTGCCCCTTGTTTGGTCTAGAAGTAAGTACAAACCAACCTTAGGCCAATAAGAAACAAAGCAAGATCTGCTGAACAGTGGGCATTTTTACAAGGTTGTTGCTTTCTGATTAAAAGAGAGACAGCTATATTCCTATATTCCCACTATGCAAAGGAACTTGATTTTTGGAGCTGTGGCAATCATACTGAAACCAAGAGGCAGCAAAGCCAAAGATACAGGACAGAGGAGCAGAGGACAGAGGCTCCTGGGATTTTTGATGACATGGTTGTACTGACAACTAAACGGTGACTTCCCTGCTTTGGACTTTTGGTTACGTGAGAAATAAAACATTTCTGCATAAACCACTCTAAGCCAGGAGCTCCACAACTTGAAGCGAATGCGTCTTGGCACATATTCAAATGCTTAGGACTCCAGGCTATGACGAGGGTCCTGGTAGGCGTCTTGATCTCTGGAATACCCAGAGAAGCGGCCTGCATTCAGAAGTCTGCAGACAGTGTGTCTCTAGAGTGAGCCAGAAACTCAGCTTTTGCCTCATCTAACTTTAACCCAGCACGGGCGTCTCCTCAACTTCCCGAGGCTGACATTTTGTTCGAAGCTCTGTCTCTCCAGCTACGGAGGTGGGTCAAGTCTCCCTGGAGTCCAGACCGCGAGCCAATAAAAACATTCTTCCAAACACATCTGGCGTCCACCTGGCCAAATACATCTTGGGTATGGCTGGAGGTCCCCAAGGATGGCCTCACCCACCCACTCCGACACACAGACCTGCTTAAGGACTGCAGCTGTGGGATGGAATTGTGAAGTCTCCAGCCGGAGCCTGCTGCAAAGCAGCAGGCCAGGACCACTGGGCACCGTATTAAGAGACTATGGTGAGCTCACAACGTCCTGCTGGAGAGAATTCCATGCGCTCAGGGCCAGGCTAGAGGAGAGGTTCTGAAGACCGTGCCAACAGCTGCTCTGCCCAGGAGGCATCACGCACCTGCCAGGGCTGACATCTCACACAACCCCATGATTCCCCCAGCGCCTCCGCTGCCCAGTGAGGACTATACTTCTGTCTGCTCAGCACCAAGAAGTGGGGAGTCAAACAAGGGGCAGCTCAGCCCAAGCCCTCAGGGCTTCTCCAGAGGGCAGCATGTGGGATGCCTAAAAATATTAAATAGATGCACGACAGGCCCTGGCCAGGACTTCAGGGAATAAAATGCATTTTCCCTGGATGAGCGTGTCCAGTCTTCCAGTTTAAATGCCACAAATGTATGGTGACTTCCAAATTCAGGTCCCCAGCCTCACCCAACTGCAAACTTACATAGCCACCACCACTGAGCTGTGGGGTGTGCGTGTAAAGCCCTGGAGTGTCCTCTCACACCAAACCTGACACGTCCACAGCTGAGGTCCAGCTTGTCTCCTTCCAAGGCCCCTTACTTAGAAAACCCCACCTGCTGCCTCTCTGTCATTGCTTCCTTGGCACTCTGATATTCGGGACTGGATCGTTCTTTGTGGTGGGGTTGTCCTGGGTGCTGTAGGATGTGGAGCTGTGTCTGTGGTCTCTACCCACTAGGTACCGGGAACATCCCCTCCCCCAACAGTGTGACAACCAAAATGTCTCTAGAATTGCGTATCCCTAGGGGGTGAAATCACCCTTGGTTGAGGACTACAGCTCGCCCCAATCCTGAACCTTCCACCCATCAGAGTCCTGCTGGCCCAATCTCCAACCCACCCCATTGACCCACTGACCTCCACCCTCAGGCCACTGTTGGCTCCTGCCCAGACTGATGGCTCTTGTCCTGTGGCCTGGCTCTTGCTTACAAAGCATCCTTCTTAAAGTCACCACCACGATCTTTTTGAAACACAAATCATGCCATTCCCTGCCTTTCAGCCTCCAATGCTTCTCCATTTCATTTAAAGTCAAGTCTGAGCATGTCACTTCTGGACCCCATCCCCCTGCTTCCTCACTACCCCCTATCCCACTGGACTTCTCTCTGGGTCTTAAACAAGCATCTTGGGTGGACCGCTGTTCTCTACCTCTGTGCCTTTGCACTGGCTGTTCCCGCTGCCTGGAACAGTTCTTCAGATCCTTCAACACCAGCTTCTTCCTAAAATTCAGGCCACAGCTCAAAGTCACCTCCTCAGAGGGGCCTTTCTGGATCAATGCCCAGGGTTGTTCCCCACTGCTCCCCCTCACACAGTCTTCTTTCATTACATCAGTATTTTGCTTCCACTGTGGAGCTTTTTCTGTGAGGCTGTGCCCATGGCCTTGCTGGCTTCTCCAGCCCTGGTCCCAGGCTAACTCAAGGCCTGGTCGGCAGCAGGCACTCACTGCACACGTGTGCACTGATGAAGCACCATGTGCTGTTAACCTAACCTGGGCAGTGCTGTAGCCATCGTGACGTTTGAGGCAAGGGGTGCCTCTACAAGGCCTCTCCACCTGTGGCCTCACTTTGAGCAGCATAAAGACAAGATCCCCACCCCAGGGCCCTCCTCCCAGACCTCTTGCTGATGAGAATACACAAGGACTCCCTGCTCTCTCTGTGAGCTTTCATTCAGCATGGTCTGATCAAGGGGCAGGATTTGCTTTTTGCTTTATTTTTTAAAAATTAGACAAAAAAATTTTAGAGCCATGTCTCCAGCCCTTTTTGCTTTAGTTTATTTTTTGGACAGGGTCTCACATTTTTGGCCTGGGACTGGCCTCAGACTGCGATCCTCCTACCCATCCCATATAGCTGGGATGACAGGCACGTTCAGCTTATGGAATGGGATCTCACTAAGTTTTGCCCGGGCTAGCCTTGAACCTTGACCTTCCTGGTTTCTACCTCCTGAGTAGCTGGGATTACAGCTTTGAGCCACCATGCCTGCCACAGGATTGCATTTTTTTAAACAAATACTTCAGGATGATTTTCATGGGGTGTATGTGTGGGAGGAGGCTGGGGAAACCTGGCCCCAAGAAAACACAGGACCAAGGTTGCACACCACACTCTGTGGCAGCTCAAGGAGGCCTCTGGTGCCCACTGACCTGAGTGGTGAGAGTGGGGACGTTCTTGTGGTCCTCACCTCAGCCAAGATGGAGACAGGTCCTGTGAGGGCTGCTCGCTTCCCCACAGAACAGGCTTCCCTCTGCCGAGGACCCCAAGCTGTGTTCTCTTAGGCTTAGAGGTCCCAGTGGTTATGTCCTACCTAGCCTGAGCTGATTACCTATAACTCATTCTCTTGGTCAGTGCCTGGAGTGCAGAGCACAGGACAAGGGTCCCAGGAGAGAGAGAGAGAGAGAGAGACCTGCTCACTGGGAAAGGGCCTTGTCCTTCTTTTGGGGCTCCAACTACAGGGGACACCAACCAGGGCAGGTTCTTAGAAGTCTGGCTACCTCCATTAGGACAATAGCAGCCAGTATTTACCTGTGCCAGACGCTGTGCTAAGCACTTGACACCGATGATCTCATTCTATCCTTTTCCACAAACCAGGAGACAGGTGTAGGATGAGAACGCTGAGACAGAGAGGTTGAGTCACACGCCCCCATGTCACAACTAGGCAGGCGGCCAGGCAGGCTGGCTGTCCTAACCACCAAGCCCACAGCTTCAGAGCTAGGGAAGGAGACCAGTGCCACGGACGTACAGCACAGCTGGAGGAACAGAAGTCCACGGCAAAACTCTAAGTAGGGTCCAGCTGTGCCTGATGCCAGGCCTCCCTTAGGATGTAGGGTCATGAAAGCTGATAGGGCTCCTTCCTTCACCTTCAGCTGATTGAGTTTTTGCTTTCTGTGGCTTGCAAGAGAAAGGGTCCTGATGACTCCATGTCCTTCTAGGAAAACACCCCTAGCGAGGTTCCATTGCAACCCGAACTCAGCAGCCACTCGGTAAATGCCACCAGATGTCGTGAGACTCTCCTGGCTTCCCGCCCCATCAATTGCTGGGTCTGTAACCCCGAGCCCAACCATGGCCAGCCCGGTGCCTCTTCCCCTCTAGGATCCAAGCATGGCCTCGTTCCCTAGCAACCACCCCAATTAGGCAATCACGCCATTTATCAGAATGCCAATTAATTATAATGATCTTAATGATCTCCCAATTAGATAGTGCCTTGAAGCTGGCTGGATCCAGGGATTTGCAAAGTCCCCACCAGGTGGCCTTGGAGCTCCAGCTCCAGCTCAGCCTCCAAGGACACCAAGGAGAGCATCACCTTCCATCCACTGCTCACTCGGGGCCCAGGCCTGACCATGGAGCCCCTGGACCCTGGTCCCCCTCTGGGGTCACTCTATTGCCCACCACAAGAGGGTCTCACCTCTCAAAGAATGTCCCTCCTCTTGCCATGTGCTCTCAAAGGCTAAAATCCTCATCTAAGTTCATAGCTTTTCCTCAGCCACATTTGATATTTCACTTTACATCTGACCCAGGGACGATGCGTGACACACACACACACAGAAGGAAAAGACACCAAGCAACTGCAACTTTTCCTTAGGGCAAAAGAAAAGCCCCAAATGCAAATCCAAGAGTGCTTGCCTGAACAGTGGAGGATTCTGGAAGTGGGAAGAAACAATAAAGTTTTATTGTCTACTGAGCATGTTTTTTTTCTACATGTAGAAGCAAAGCCAGGGCCATGGAAAAGGAGGTCCCAGTGGTTCGGATGGACCCTGGAGCCTGAAGGCTGTCCACTGACCACTGTCACAGTCGAGGTCTTTTCTGAGCTTCAGTTTCTTCTTTTTTTAACATGGTGACAATCACAGGACCTGCCTCTCAGGGTTTTCCTGTGCTTTAAATGAGTTGTTGTGACTAGGGCTTGTGCACTGCCTGACTGTTACCTGTCAGTCTAGGCTCAACTTCTTTTAACCACAAGATGGTTAGAAAAGCAGCTATCTGTCGGCAGGACAGGGCCTCCGGTTTTGGTGGTCTAAGGACGATAATGGGTAGCACTTGAGGAGCTAGGTGACATTCTCCTAGCTGACCCAGGAGATCAGAAGCTGCCCGTTGAGGCAGGTCCTAGCAGGTAAGCTGCCAAAGCCAGGAAAAGGGAGCCAGAAACATGATCCTCAAATCAAAAGGTGGACTTTGAACATCAGAGTGTGAAACTGCACACTGACTTTTAATCCCCATCCTTGGGATACAGCTGATCCGAGCTGGGTGAGGTCACTTGGGTACCTGTACATCTGAATACACCCCCCCCACCCCGCCCACAGCTTCCCCCCAAGCCCAGGCTTTTTACCATCGTCATTTAATGCTCACATTTGAAAACATATTATTAGGGTTTTAGAAAAAGCCATAAATTCAAATAAAAAACCCAAGAAATACACACAAAACCCCAAGCCACAATGACCCTTGGTCACAGCAGTGAGACCATGCTTGAACTTGGCCGAGGGAGAGCCCTCAGGTGCAAACACCCAACTTGCCATCCGCCAGGCCTACACTACGGCCACCAAGCTGCTTCCAGCCGGAAATCTTGAGTTTTCCTCCTCTAGGAGGGACCAGCATGGTGGGGGAGAGCATGTCTTATGGGCGTGGTCTTCAGTGTCCCCCCTCCCCCCGCCTGTCTATCTTTAAAGAATGGCTCTGACTTAATCAACCCCACCCTTGTGTCCCGGAAGGTGGAGCTGCAGTGAGGAATCTCCTTCTCCAGTACCTAGGAGGTGAACAATTCCAACGCTGGAGAGAGAACAAATCCAGGGGTGTCCTCCAGGGAGAGGCCATCTCACCTGCTCCCTATTGCCCCTGAGACCAGGCTCCAGAGCAGCCTGGGGGAGGGAGGGAGAGCCCTGTGGGAAAGAGGCAGGGGACAGATGGAGGGGCAGAGGGCCGTCCCAACATGCACAGATGAGCAAACGCCCAGATTCAAACGTAGGCTGAACGTAATTACTTGGTTAATTAAATATTGACTTTTAACTCAAAAAGTGATTAAAACAAGCTGCAGGAAAGCCTGGCCAGAACGGGGGCGGGGCGAATCAGAACTTTCAAGCGGCGGGGGCGGTGGGGGGTGGGGTCACAGTGAAGGTCTGTGTGCTCTTCCTACCGTGTGCAGGGCCTACTGTGTGCAGGACGAAATCCTGGGGTTTGGAGCGGCTGGCCAGGACTTCGGGTACCTCCCTACATTTTCCCATTGTGGGACCGCATTTCTCCCAGCAATGATCTTCCCTCCCATGATCCCGCGGTTCTGGGGCAGAAACTGCCCTCCACCTCCCTGGCATGCACCATGGTGCCTGGCACGACGGCTGTTCCAGAAGCGCTTGTAGAACGAATGAATGAACTACTACAAAGAATGTTTAAGTGCACTCCTAGAGATCGCTGTAGCGTCACCGCCAGAATTTGTGAAACCCGGGAAGTCCGGGAAGAGGAGCGTCTCCACAGGACGACGAAGCGGGTTCTGTGCTAGCCTGGGAGGAAGTTTGCCTTTCCGATCTCATTTGTCCTTTTTCTATTTGCGAGTTCCCAGTCACTCGGAAGATCGGTCCACCGCTTTCCCGTGTCCTGCCCGGACAAGCCCCACGTGGACTGGCTTCCCGCAGCTCCTCAGGATTTAAACCCCAAGGGGTCAACGGGGCCATCCCTGTGCGGCTGGCGGGCCAGGCGCCCTTCCCCCGGGGCCACCAGGGCTCGGAGTGGCGCGCCCGCGGGTCAGGGGCGCGGCGGGAAGCTGCTCGCCCAGCCCGCCAGCCGGGTCAAACGGGTCACCCCCCTGCGGCCGCTGGCGCCGGAGCCTCCCCCTGCCCTCCCGGTTCCACCTCCGTGCACGGCACTGGGGCCGGAGCTCGAGCCCGGGCCGGAGCCGGGCGGTCAGGACCGACTCCGGCTCACCTGGGCGGCGCTCGCGGCCATGCTCGCCCGCGGCGAGGCTCAGGCTGCAGGGAGTCCCGCGCAGCCCGGAGCCCCGGCCCGCCCCCGCCCTGCGCCCCACTCACCAAACGCACTGCCCCGGCGGCCTCACCCGGAGCGGGGCGCTGCCGCCTCTGCCGCAGCCCAGCCGGGCCGCGGGGCGCAGGGGACTCCGCGCCGCTGCTGCTGCCGCCGCCGCCGCCGCCGCCGCCGCTGCTGCATCCCCGGGCGAGTGCGGCCGCCGCTGCTCCTCCTCCTCCACCTCTCCCCGCCCCCGGCCCGCCGCCGCCAACCGGCCCCGCCCGGCGCGCCGCCCTCGCCAAAGTCCGGCTTCGCGCCCCGCCCGCCGCTCCTGAATCGCCCCGGCTCGGCCAGCCGCGCGGCCCGAGCCAGCCCTTGGCACGGCGCGCCCGGCCCCGCCTGCCTGTTTGCCTGCCCGCCGGCCGCCGGCCTCGGCGCGGGGAGGCGGGCGCGCGCCGGGGCGGGGAGCGCCAGGCCTGGGCGGCGCGCGGCGGGGACCCGGGGACCCGGCGGCGGCCTCCGCGCCCCCCGCACGCGAGCGCTTTACCTCCGGCTCCGGGGACGCACGGCCCGGCCGGCCACCCGGCTCTGCTGGCCCCGGCGCGTGGCCCTTGCCCGAAGTCCGGCCCCGGACGGGGCAGCGTGCGGAGAGCAGGGTCCCAGCGGCACCCGGCCTCCGATGCCTCCGGACCCGGCTGGCTGGCCGCGCTCCCGGCGCCGAGCGCGCACCCTCGCCGGGACAGACGCACACTCACCCGACACACACTCGCTCCCGCTTGCCCTCGGCGGAGAGTTGAAACAGATGTGGGATTCGCCCAGGAGCTGGAAACGGGGGAGGGACGCGAGCCAGCGCCGCGCGCGCGTGTGTGTGTGTGTCACAGAGACAGGGGGCATTGCTAATAAATCAGATATCGTAATAAAGTCCGGAGGGCCATCGACCAGGTCCACTTGGCCGGGAACGGAGAGCATCCGTGCCTCTTTTCGCCTTTCTTTTTCTCCTCCCTCAGAGCTGGACGGAGCCCCGCGTTCTTGGGGCGGGAGCTAGTGCACCCCTAGTAATGACACGTTAATAAATGTTTTCTTTTATCTGCTTTCACAGGGGCTCGCCCCGGTCTGCAAACACCCGACAGCCTTTGCTGAAAGCCCCCGCTCGCCTCTAACTGCACACACTTGCCATTGGAGACGCCGGCTGGTGCCGACCTCCTGCTAGATTGCAGGAAGAACTGTCCCCGAGCCCAGGACCTTCCCACGCGCCTCGGAAGCTCTCCGAAAAATTAACTTGAGCTTAAGTGAAAACAGCAGCGTTGCCCAGAAATGGCCCGGGAATAGCAAAGAAAGAAGAAACCCGTTTCATCCAGAAGCCGGGAAATGAACTCCAGGTGGTGCTGTCTACCCGTTTCCACTGTCCCCGAAGCCACAGAAGAGGCCTAAGGGCGGGACAGGCAGGGTTTACAGAGATGGATGAAGAGTTGGCAGAGAACCAGCCAGGACCCGCAAAAGTCCAATCCAGCTGCCGGGGGAACTGCTCGCTGTAGAAAAGCACTTGTGGGAGGCAGAGATCAGGAGGATTGTGGTTCGAAGCCAGCCCGGGCTAGTAGTTCGTGAGCCCCTATCTCGAAAAACCCTTCACAAAAATAGGGCTGGTGGAGTGGCTCAAGGTGAAGGCCCTTAGTTCAAGCCCCAGTACCACACACACACACACACACACACACACACACACACACACAAAAGAAAAAAGAAAAGCACTTGTGGACAGCAGTAATTTATTTAAGCCTCACAGATTAAGCAGTAGTTTACAGATTTGGAAAACAAGTCACAAGGATGTTAAGTAACTGCCCAAGGTCATATGAATGTAAGTGGTAGATCCAGGACTTGAAGTCAGTGTTGTGCTGTTAAACCCCCCAGCCTTTCTTGATTTGGAATCCAGCATCTCCTTCCACTGTCTGATCTAATTTCTGGCTAGTTAGCTGTCAGATTTTAGTAAATAAAAGTAAGGGGACTGGCAGAGTGACTCAAGTGGTAAACTGCCTGCCTAGCAAGCATGAGACCCTGAGTTCAAATCCTCGTACTACCAAACTTACACTAAAACATTCTTTGTTGTGTATCTGAAATTCAAATCGAGTGTCCTAACTGGGTTGGGGGACCCATTATCTCCCTTAGCTATCCAGATTAAGCCAGAGTCTAAAGAAATCAGTAAAATCCTAACCTTGCTTTTCCAAATCAGGTGCTGGCCCCACCTTTGGAGCTGCCCTTGCCATGCCTGGGACACAATGTCAATGCCTGGGAACACAATGTCATGCTTGCTTCTTCACCTTCATGGATTAAAATATATTGGAGACCCTTCCCCCATGCCTCATCTCTGCAGCGGGGAGAGGCCCAAATCCTCACCATGCTGTTCAGTAGATGTAGGTGACAGGCTAGGTGTGTAATTTAAAAATTTTAGTGGCATTAGAAGGTAAAAAGAAATAGGTGAAATTAGTTTTGATAATGAAGTCTATTTAACTTACACTACCCAAGATATTATCTCCTCAACATGTATTCGAATATTAATGAGATATTTTTACATTCTATTTCCTGCTTTTTGCCGGTATTGGGGATTGAACTCAGGACCTCGTGATTGCTAGGCAAGTACCCTACCACTTGAACTACACCCCCAGCCCTTCTTTCTTTGGTTTTTAGATAGTCTCAAGTTTTTTGCCCTGGAACAGCCTCAGATGGAGATCCTCCTACTTCCACTTCCCTAGTGGCTGGGATCATAGGCCACCTTGCCTAGCTCTGTGTGTATTTTATACTTACAACGCCTCTCACTTTGGATCAGCTCCATGTGGGTGCCCGCTCTGGGTAGGGCAGCTCCTGTAGGTTCTGTGGTCTGCTGTAGAGTGTTTGCACCAGGTTAACTCAAGCAATCTCTCGGCAATCTTTTGAGAAAACTGGTATTCAGAGATGTGCAGGGCCTTGCCCACAGCCACAGAGTTGGCATGTGGGATGTCAACCCCTTGGAAGCTGTGCTGGCTTTGGGGCACACCTCTGACTGCAGTTTTCCTGCTGGTCTCAGAGCCCTGGGGTGGGGGTGGGGGTGAGGGCTGCAGTGGGAAAGGGAGGGAGGGAGGTCCAGAGGTAGAGTCTGCATCCTGCTTGCTGTTCAGGGGTGGGGGGATTTCTACCACAAAGATGTCCAAAACCAACTGCATTACCACGTCCTGCCTTTCAGACCTCAGGTTTGAACATGGCTTTCTGTCTCCACATGGGTCTTGCCCACAGTCTTCATCAGGAAACCTCAGTGCTAGAGAGACAGCTCATAATTACGCAGGTGGCTGTGCGCTGGCCTGAGATGGCGTCATTTGATTATCTTTAGATATGTTTTCTTAATGTGGTCACGTCTACATTGTCATTTCCTAGGGAGGAGGGGACAGATCTAAGAGTGAGCACCGGTGTGCGTGTGCATGTGTGTTTACTGCAGGCAAAGGCTTTGTGTGCACCATGTGTGTTACGTGGGGACTCATTGACCAGCTCAGACACCCAAGGAGTCAGAGGGTCTGCAAAGTGTCCTCTGGCCATGTGTCTTCCTACAATTCCTAGCAAACCCGGTGGTCCTCCAGGTCTCAGCCTGTTGTTCAGGTCCCTTTCCAGGCATGTGGGGACTGCTAGCCCCACTGGGAGCTCAGTGTTTGCTGAAAATGTGAGAGGCCTCAGAGTTCAGATGTCCCCAGCCTTGAAAGTCACCAGCAACATCTCAGCCAGACCTCGGTGGGCTCAGCAGAATCCTTAGGGCTTCCTGAATCTCCAGCCCCTGAATCTCCAACCACATTGTCTAGGACAGCCTTTCTCTTCTTGTGTCCCTTGCACCTCTGATGACATATGTGACTGTGATGGTTCTGGCTGGACAATGCAATAGGCATTTCAAGCTCCCCAGCCCGACTGTTCTCCACTGCTGGTTTAACATCAAGGGGGCCTTTGTCCTGACACCTCCACGCCTCTTTCCTCCATGAGCCCCTGATGGCCCACGGTATAGGACACTTGGTGGTCACATCCACCTGGCAGAGCCGGAGTCGCTCTGTTACTTTCTTGGCTCACAGGCACCAGTGGAAACAGAACTCCTTCCTGCTGTGTGTTTCTGCATTTTAGTCCAGAGGCTGAAACTCAATCTGATTGTCTGGACACTTCTGGCTGGATCTAGATTGGAGTTTAAGGGATTTTATGAGACTTCTAAAAACGCAGCCTTTTAACATGTCTCAAACAATTTAGCATGTAAAGGAGAAACATTAAACGTGGGGACATGGCTGCAGATAGGAGGCTTGGGCAGGCGAGCCAGAGCTGAGGCACAGGTGGCTTCAATAACACACAAGTCTGGCTGTGACTTGCTCCTCTCTGTCACCCCTTGGACAGAGGTTAGGATCAAACTTCCCGGTTCCTGGGTGGAGACAGTTTTGCATGGGGTTTAAAATACGAGTTCCAATATTATGCATAACTACATAAAATTGTGGTTCACTCTGCTGAATTTTCAGTTAGACCCGAGCTGTCTTGTCAGTAGAAATGAGCTGGCACTAGGAAGAAACTGTTTATACGTCTTGAGATATTGTGATAATGAAAAACAGCTCCATAAACCCCCATTAAGTCAGAAGAACACTAATTGTATTTTAGGCTGCCTCCCTGGGCCAGCACACGGATGCAGACATGCTCTACTTCAGCAAAACATGGCTAATCTTTGCAGCAAGGTACCCATTTTCCCCTTTAATTACACGTAATTGTATAGTCTAATTTATTCTAACGCCTGACGCCTAAAAGTGCACATTTAGGAATCAAGGGTTAGTTTGGGAGGGAGGAGAATTATACACGAGTATAATTGCAATCTCCTGGGGGCTGTTCAGAAGTGATCTCAAAGAGTGATGGTGTTTATTCTGAATTCTTACCAGGCAAAGACGGTGAGGCTGTCTCCAGCAAAGACCACAGATAACAGCGACAATTTGTCTAGGTGCTTAATGATGCACCAATAGCTCTCTTTTGAATAAACAGGATAGGAAATTTAAATATGTGAATTCTACATCCCTTGTGATGTGATAACAAATGACGATGCACTGGTGATGCAGCCATGCTGGCACAGGTACAAGGAGTATTAAAATAAGTGACATGTCCTCGGGGGCTTCACTGTGAGCCTCTGCTGACCAGGTAGAGCTCCTTGGTGTTCGTTTTCTTAAGGGGAAAGCAGGATCCATTTGAGCATCAGTGCAATCCAGTTTAGGGCTCTCTCTGGGACAGCATGTCTAGTTTTACAGTCCCATTCCACAAAAATCATTTTTGCACTCTGATTATAATTCATGGATTACAATTAATGATGGTGGCTGTTAGTGGGAGTGGAATGGCGGTGCTGGTCTAGCCCACCCAGGCTCTGCCAGCACTGGCTAGAGGCTTCTTAGCTGCCCTCTGTCAGGCCTCAGTTTATTTTAATGAAGGGAATAATATCAAGAACATTGCAGATTGTCGTGTACTGTCCACCGAGTCTCCAGCTCTGGGAAAGTGAACAAGGAGCTGTCATTAAATCAGGATTGGAAATGCACTGTCACAGCCCCAGGAGATTTCAGGGCCTGTGAGACAGAATTGTGAAAGTCCAGGGCAGCTGGGGGAGGTCACCAAGCAATGCAGAGCACCCTACTCCCCCTTCTTACATGGAAATCTGAATTCCAGAGCAGGACCCTGAGACCTGTGGGATCGCCCGCCTACCTCTCTGTCTTTTTTCTGCTCTCTTGCTTCCTTTTTATTACAACATTGTCAAATGGAAACATTGAAAGAACACCAAGAATCCGCAGTTGTCTGTGCTTTCCCCTTCGTGTTTTATATGTTGCTGAGTCCTTTCAGAGGAGGCCAGAGACGCTATGCTGATGACGCATCACCCCTCAGGACTGGGGCCAGCATCTCCTAACAATGTGCTGCTTTCCCAGATGGCCTCCCATCATTATCGTATCTAAGGAAATTAACGGTAATTCCATAATCACTCCCAGCTTACTCACATTAACAGAGCCACAGAGGTCTCTTTCCTTTTGTTTCTCAAGCCTTTTCCTGCCTCAGGGCCTTTGCACTTGCTGTGCCCCCTGCCTGGAATAAATACTCTTTCTCCAGATTTGCCCTACCAGCTCTTTGTCATCATTTAAGTTTCAACTCAAACGTTATCTCTCTGAGACGCCCCTGAATGTTTCCTGGTCACT